GGCAGTTTGGCCCTTCCTTCTCGCTGGATGCAGTCCACGTGGACCCAGTGATCCGGGAGAGCTCCCTGGAGGAGATCCTGAAGCCTTCACCTGACCTAACTATCCAGAACCAGCTTCAGCAGTCCTGCAGCCAGATTATCAGCCTCCAGAACCTTTTCGATGTGGATGCTTGTGGGCGGCAGGTGAAGAACGTGGTGCTGTATGGCACCGTGGGCACGGGGAAGAGCACCCTAATCAAGAAGATGGTGGTGGACTGGTGCCATGGTCACCTACCCCACTTTGAGCTGGTCATCCCCTTCTCCTGCGAGGACCTGTCCCATAGCCACGCCCCCATCTCCCTGCGGCGCCTCATAACCAAGAAGTACCAGCACCTCCGGGACGTGGTGCCAATACTGGGCACTGCCAACCTCAAGGTCCTTTTCATCCTCAATGGCCTGGAGCGCCTCAACTTGGACTTCCGGCTGGCTGGCACAGAGCTGTGCTGTGACCCCAGTGAGCCTGTGCCTCCCTCTGCCATCGTGGTCAACCTGCTGCGGAAGTACCTCCTGCCAGAGGTCAGTGTCTCTCTCCAGCTCCTTTGTGCTGGAGGAAGGCTGGGGGTGAGCCTTGGGGCATTGCAGGCATGGCCATTGTGCTAATTGCTTGTAGTACAGCTCAGCTGTGAGCAAACAGGCAGCCCCCATTCCTGGAGGGACTTACCAAGGTGGCCTCATGTCACTGTTACTGGTTTGTCTCTGTGGGATCTCTGGGGAGGCCTGGGATTTCTGGTGAGGCCTAGTAAGGCAAAGAAGGCAGTCTGCTGGGCTGTGGTCTTCCAGACTCGTATATTGTCTAGAAGCGGGTAGGGAAAACTCTTCTGTCCCTTCTGCCTGGGCCAGATTTGAACCAATGCCCTTCGGGCAGCAGCTTCTTGAACCCCAGTCCCTGGGTGGTGTGATCCTTGTGCACCTATATGTGGGTTACTCACCTGGGACCCTGCTGAGCTTAGATCAAAGCTTTACCCAGCACTCTGCTTCCAGGCCAGCATCATCATCACCACACGCCCATCGGCGGTGCACCGGATCCCCGGCAAGTATGTGGGCCGCTACGCTGAGATCTGTGGCTTCTCTGACCCCAGCCTGCAGAAGCTGTACTTCCAGATGCGTCTCAGCCAGCCTGGCTGCAGTGGAGAGGACAGTGCGGGTAGCTGGTCAGGCGAGCAGGAAAACTTGGTGGAGATGTTGTCGAGGAACTTGGAGCGCCACAACCAAATAGCCGCTGCCTGCTTCTTGCCCTCTTACTGCTGGCTGGGGTGCACCACGCTGCACTTCCTTTACTTCACCAGGACAGTGCCTCCCAGCCAGACCCTGACTGGCATCTACACCAGCTTCCTGAGGCTCAACTTCAGCGGGGAGGTGCTGGACAGCACTGACCCCACCAACATCTCCATGATGAAGTATGTGGCCAAGATGATGGGCAAGCTGGCCTACAAAGGAGTGATGTCCCGCAAGACCTGCTTCTCAGAGGATGACCTGCAGCAGTGCTTTGAGGTGGAGATGAAGACTGAAAGTGAGCTCAACCTCCTTGAGGTCTTCCGCAGCGATGTCTTCCGCTTCTTCCTCACTCCATGTGTGCAGCCAGGCAAAGAGCACACCTTTGTCTTCACCATCCCTGCTATGCAGGAGTACCTGGCGGCCCTGTATGTGGTGCTGGGTGAGAAGAAGACCTTGGCACAGAGAGTGGGGAAGGAGCTGTCAGAGGTCATTGGGAAGGTGAGTGAAGATGTCACTGTCATTCTGAATATCATCTCCAAGGTGCTGCCCTTGCGCTTCCTGCCAGTGCTGTTCAACTTGCTCAAAATCTTCCCTCGCTACTTCGCCCGACTGAGTGGTAAGGACCGGGATGCTATTGCTAACACCATGGCAGAGGAGCTGTTCAAAGAGGAGGACTACTACAATGATGATGTCTTGGACCAGATCAATTCCAGCATCCTGGGTGTTGAGGGCCCCATGCGGCATCCTGATGAGGCCCCCGATGATGAGGTCTTTGAGCTCTTCCCCATCTTCATGGGTGGGATACTGTCTCGCCGTAACCGTGCCATCCTGGAGCAGCTGGGCTGCTCCATCAAGAACCTGGCAGCCTTTGAGACTGCCAAGGCCATGAAAAAGACAGTCATCAGGAACAGCCGCAAGGGGCTGCCCCCCACCGAGCTGATGGACTACTTCTTCTTCCTGCATGAGTTCCAGAACGAGCACTTCACAGCTGAGGCCATCCGCTCCCTCCGGACTGTCAACCTCTCATCCGTCAAGATGACCCCTCTCAAGTGCTCCATCCTGGCATCTGTCATGGGTACCACGTGCCACGAGGTGGAGGAGCTGAACCTGACCTCCTGCAACCTTGACACAAGCAGCTTGAGGATCCTCTTCCCTGTCCTGCTGCGATGCAAAGCTCTCCAGTGAGTACCATCTTGTTTATTTGGGCAGTGCTCAGAAATCAGGCTCTCCCTCACCTCTGCCCGTCACAGTGATACACTAGGAGCCCGAGCATGGCAAAGGCAGGGAAAGGCATGCATGCCCTTTTACATCCTCCGTGCAGACCGAGGGGACTACAGCTTCCAACATGCAATGTTCCTTGAGCAGCCTTGCCAGGGCACTGCATGCTGAGATTTGCAGTCCCAACACACCTTCCCGTAAGACTCTTCGGGCAGCTCTCTGCATCTGGTAGCACAGGCTGGGCTGCCAGCTCCCCTGGCAGACCCCGTCCCTCCCATTGTTTGGCTCCCGGAGCCACCCAGCATCCCCGCATAGCTAGCTCTGCTTCTGCTAAGTCAGGGCAGGAAATATGCAGCCCACGGGTGGGGAGTCTGAGCTGCGCAAAGGGATGGGTTCCGTTCGAGTCCGTTGTGGCACTGCAGTCTTCCTGTCGCCCAGGGGGTGGCGAGCCGTGCTCAGCAGAGATGGACTCGGCTGTGCGGCGGGCCTATGCAGTGCTTCCTTCCTCCAGATGCTCAGGAGGGCTTGGTGGGGTCCTGATCCCTCCTCAGGCTTGCACCCACCTCCTGCGGACCCTGCACACCCTTCCTCTCCCTTGCTTCTTCTGGCACTGGCTCTGCTGGCTGATGCTACCCAAGCTCTGGCGTGGTTTCAGTGTATCCCTTTTGAAGAGGAAGCCTTGTGTGACCTTGTCGGAGGAGCCCAGATAGGACCGTGATGAGGAGGGCCAGGGAAAATGGAGAGAGCAGGGTTTCCAGCCCCACAGGTGACAGCCGTTTTGGTCCTGCCACCTTCATGTCTCACTCTGCATCAGTCTGCAGCTCAACAGCCTGGGCCCTGACGCCTGCAAGGAAATCCGCGACCTGCTCCTGCATGACAAGTGCATGGTGAGCAACCTGCGGTGAGTACTGCTTCTGTCCTTGCACAAAACTGTTACTGCTACCCGCCATGTGCCCTGGCCCTGGGCCCCCTGCCCAGCCTCAGCATTGCTCTGAGCTCCTGTGTCCACAGGCTGGCAAATAACCCCGTGGGTGAGCAAGGGGCACAATACCTGGCTGAGGCACTGGCAGGCAACCGCTCGCTGACTCATTTGTCCTTGCTGCACACCGTGCTGGGGGACCAGGGTGTCGAGATCATTGCTCAGCACCTGGCCAAGAACCAGCACCTCCAGGAGCTCAACCTGGGCTACAACTCCGTGACGGACACAGCTGCCCTGCATGTGGTGGAGGTGGCCAAAAAGCACGCGACGCTGGACAAAGTGCAGTGAGTTTACTCTGCCCCATCTCTTCCCTCTTCCAGGCGATGCCTCCAATCCAGTGTCCCTCCCAGTGGCAGCGAGTAGGGAGCCCCTCTCTACCTCTGCGTCCTGCCCCCCAGTCCTCACTGTGTCTTCCATTCCTTTTCTCTCGACCTGCAGTCTGTACTTCAACGACATCAGTGAGGACGGCAAGCAGGCACTTGACACCCTGCGCATGGACCGGGACGGTGTCAGAGCGCTGGTCTTCCTTACAGCAGGCACTGACGTCTCTGAGTACTGGTCCAACATCCTGAACGTGGTGCAGAGGAACCTGCCTTTCTGGGACCGTGAGCGGGTTCGGCAGCACCTTTCCCTCATCCTGCAGGACCTGGAGAGCAGCCGGAGACAGACTGCCAACCCCTGGAGGAAAGCCAAGTTCCTACGAGTCGAGAGTGAGGTCAAGAAGATGCTGGGGAAACTGCAACATGGGACCCTCTAACCTGCTGCCATCCACCCGGCCAGAGAGAGAGCAGTGTTGCTGG